ATATATATATAGAGAGAGAGAGAGAGAGAGAGAGAGAGAGAGAGCACTGAAATAACAGCATATTTATAAAATTCATTCAAAAATTAATTAAAAAGTTTGAAAATGAGTTAAGAGCAACCAAAATAATGTAGCTAATCCTTTAGCACTTCCTTTCCTTGACTTAAATCCAAGGGATTGTACTACTGAACTACATCCCTAACACTTTTTGAGACAGTCTGGCAAAACTGCCTAAGTGGGATTTGAACTTGCAATCCTCTTGCCTCAGCTTTCCTCAGTGCTTCAATTACAGGTGTGTGTCACCACGCATGGTTAGCTTAAACTCTTCGACTTTCCTTCATCAGGACTCTAAGATTATTATGAATACAGTTCTTTAAATGAGCTTTTATAAAGTACTGTGCTAAAGCATTTTCATACATTAACTCCCAACTATCCTAAGTAGCATCTTCATTTAAAAGGTTCTGAGAAAATCATCGAAATCTCACAAACCAGAAATAGAACTAAAAAATTTAAAACTTCCCAAGTCTAAATTCTTATTTCTGCTATAATGCCATATATGTGAACCAGTTCTAAAAATGTTTCTAACAACTCGTGTCCTAGCGTCTTTTGCAACATATTTAAGTAAGCATGCCTAGATGCCCAAATAAGGACCTGTCTCCATTTGATTCCTAAAGATACTTCTTTGATCCTGTTCCAAATCACCACTCAGAATGCCCTCTACCTATCTCTAAACCCAGTCTTTGCAGCCTAATCCTTCACTTCCTCTACTCTTGCACCTGAGTTACACTTTAACAGCAAAGATTCTTCTCATTGCAAATTTATGCTGTCATTTAAAGGCAGCACTCAAAATTGTAGAAATCTTTCTCCTATGTGCTCACTAGTCCATTCCCCCAAATAACTCTGAGGTTGAACTACCAATCTTGAATTTTATTAGCTTATGTTGACATTTAAGATACAGATACAATAGACACCATTTTTATGTCTACCTCCATCTCAGGTATATTCTCCCAACCAAAATCTAGAATATATCCAATCTTAATCTTAAGGATACAAAAGCCATCTGCTGACTGACTAGCTCTCATTTCCTTACTGAAATTCTTTTCTTTGTTGGTCTGAAACACAATTATCTTATTCTCTAGTCTTTCTAACTCCTTATCCTTATTCTTTATTGAATCTTCCTTCTTCCTAATCACCATGCCCTGTCAATTCTACCATCAAATACTTCTCAAATCCATTCATCTCTTCCAACATCTCCATTACACTAGTCAAATCCAGTATTAACTGTGTGCAGCAACCTCTCAACTAGTTCCATACTTACTGCCTCTCTCCAATTCCAGATTGATTTTTATTAAGTATTCTGGATGTTATTCTGCTAAAAACTCCTGAAAAGCTTTCAAACTTTTTTTTTTTTTTTGGTACTGGGGATTGAACTCAGGACCTTGCACTTTCAAGGCAGGTGCACTGCCCACTGAGCCAAATCCCTGACCCTCAAATTGCATTTTAAAAATCCAAACTAGAGTCAGTGACTCCTTTCTCAAACTCTTAACCTACCATTAGTCCCAGAAGTTTACTGTAAGATTTTTCCACATATTTTACTATATTTTAAATCAAAAGGGAAGACAGTAAATAGTATGCTAACATCTAGAATAAAAGGGAGCATATATACATACACACATACATATTATATATGTGTGTAC